TGAATTAGAGCCCACTGATCCATGGAGAGTAGCAACCTAAAGGTTGGGTTTGTAACCTGAGGCACAATTAAGAGATCTGCTAGGGGCCAGAGCTGTGGCGTAGTGGGTTAATGCCTAGACCTGAAACACCGGTATCCAATATGGGCTCTGGTTCGAGACCTGGCTGCTCCACTTTTGATCCAGCTCCCTACTAATACTCCTGGGAAGGCAGAGGAAGATGGTTCAAGTCAGTCCTTAGGCCCCTGTACCCACTTGAGAGTCCTGGAAGAAGCTCCTGGCGAATCAACCCAGCTTCGTCCATTGCAACCATTTGGGGAGTGAACTAGCGGATAGAAGTTCTCTCTCTGTGTCTGCCTCCCTGTAACTCTGCCTTTCAAATAAATAAACTAATCTTTTAAAAAAAGAAATATCTGAGTATGAATTGGGTGTTAGATAGCATTAGGAAAGTACTTTCTTATTTCATTAGATAGCATAATGGTATACATTTGAAAAATTCTATTAAAGATGTGTATTGAACTATTCATTGAAAATGGTATTATGTGTGGAATTCGCTTTAAAATAATTCAGGAAAAAAGATGGAACAAGGAAGGAAGAGATAAAACAAAATTAGCATAATATTAATAGCTACTGGAGCTATACATGGGATCAATGGTGGAAAATTTCCACTGGAGAAAAAGTGTTTAATGGACATTTTAAAAAAAGCGTTCCAAAACAAAGCACTGTTTTTTGTTACTTTGTTCAAGTTAAATATTTCTGGGGCAAAAAATTAAGTTTCTAATTGTAAAAGGGCTATAGCATTAGGTGTTAGTCACAAGCCTCAGACAGCACATCCACTCCATGCAGTACACTCACGCTGGCCAAATCTGGGATACTGACGTCGTCCGCCTCGGAGACAAGACTTCCCCTGCGATTGGAGCGACTGAAATAATCGGCCGTAGACACCTTTCAGTCAGAAAAAACCAGATGCTTTCAGTTAAGAAGAAACAGAACACTGGCCAATGAAGGAAAGGTTGGTTTTTAATTTTAGAGAGGGTAAAGTATCATGAAATGAAGTGAGGAAACTGATACAATTAACCTACTCCCAAAAAAAAAAAAAAAAAGGAGAGAGAAAAGAAGTTCTTAGACAAAATCACAGCTCCGCAAAATAACCTCTCTTATTCATCTTACCTACAGTTCCATGCTAGGGAGTCTGAGGGCCTGCAAACTCCCATGTTAATTAAAACATCCACTGGGGGCCGGCACTGTGGTATAGTGGGTAAAGCCACTGCCTGTAGTGCCAGCATCCCATACAGGCACAGGTTTGAGTCCCAGCTGCTCCACTTCCCATCCAGCTCTCTGCTATGGCCTGGGAAAGCAACAGAGGATGGCCCAAGTCCTTGGGCCCCTGCACCCATGTGGGAGACCTGGAAGGAGTCCTGGCTCCTGGCTTTGGGTAAGTTCAGCTATGGCTGCTATGGCCATCTGGGGAGTAAGCCCAAAGTAAGGAAGACCTTTCTGTTTCTGTGTCTCTCTGTCTCTCTCTCTCTGCTTCTACCTCTCTGTAACTCTGCTTTTCAAATAAATCAATAAATCTTAAAAAAAAGAAAAAAAAAACAAAACACGGAACCCTCAAGAGGGGTTTTCCAGATACTATCTATCTAAAGTCTTTACCATATTTCACACAATCTGTTAAGCACATGCACGTGGAACACAGAATTATTGTCTTCTGCCCCATTTCTACATTACCTCCTTTTTTTTGGGGGGGGGGGCAGAGTTAGACAGAGAGACAGAGAGAAAGGTCTTCCTTTTTCCATTGGTTCACCCTCTAAATGGCCGCTACAGCCAGCGTGCTGCAAGGAGCCAGGTACTTCCTCCTGGTCTCCCATGCGGGTGCAGGACCCAAGCACTTGGGCCATCCTCCACTGCCTTCCCAGGCCACAGCAGAGAGCTGGACTGGAAGAGGAGCAACCGGGACAGAATCCGGCACCCCAACGGGGACTAGAACCCGGGTTGCCAGCACCGCAGGCGGAGGATTAGCCTAGTGAGCCGCGGCACCGGCTATCCTCCTTTTCATATTTCCCCAAGGCACAGCTAAGAAGGAAAGGAACCACACTGGCTCCTGGTTCCCCAAACACATCCAGTTATTTGTACTTGGGGCTTCAGCACGAGTCTGGAAAGCAGCTGGCACCTGACATTTCGGTGGCAGCTCAAAGGTCGCTTCCCCAGAGAAGCCATCTGCGACTCTCCATCCAAAAGGCCACCCCCCCACCCCCAACATCAGTGGGCTTCCAGGTTCCCTCTCCCATCACATGCTCTCTCTCCACCATCCTCTCCATCACCTGCTCTCTCT